CAGCACTTATCGTGATAAGTGCTGGAAAGCAATTAAAAATATAAAGGTTTACGGCGCTTTTCAGTACTTTTCGTGATAAAAGCTGGAAAGCGCTTATCAAAAACCATTCTAAGCTATATTAAGCGGCTTAATAGATTAAAGTCACTTTTAGAAGCTTAAAAACGCGATGTTTAAGCACTTTAAAGCACTTAATTGTAGTGATAGCTTATTTAAGCCGCTTAAAAACAGCTTACAAAGGCAACAATTTTCACATGGGGTTCTGTTAGGTATCTTTCTCTTAAGGAATTATGTGCCAGTCGAAAATCAAATCATAAAAATTTATATTAATTTTTGCAGCAGTATGAATAAACTTCTCACTAGAAAGTACGGTTTTTTGAAAAGCTGAACTACAATCGAAACCCCTGATGCCATATTTCATTACACTTGAAAGCCGATGCCAGTGTCAGATGTTACAATATAAACTACTATGATGCCCAGGAATCTGAACTACTTATCTTTCCAAAATGGGAGACTCCTACTCCATAGTCAATGGATACTTGCATATTTCTGTCACAGTAAGTAAGATGTATCTCATTTCGTGTCGGAAGTACACATTAGCTGCCATATTGAAGTCGTTCGATAGTACTATCACTGTATACATCTAATAGAAACCTCTTTTTAATTCCTTCAAGCTCAACTGTTTCCCGAATGACTTTGTTAGTTTAGCCGTCATTTTTTCTGTCCATTGCTAGACCTCGCAAATACACAGGCCAGATGAGCACGCGAATGCGAAATGTAGTGTTCAGAACGCATTACATTGTCGATTTAATAGTATGGGGTCGGGAACGAACTGGTAACCAGCTATTGATTTCTACGAAACCATGATAACTGTTTCTACAGTTCTCCAAGAAACTGATAGTTTTGATTTATTAGTTTTTAAAACACTTTGTCCTTGTGTGCCAATTAAATCCCAAAGGCAGTATGAAAAACATCCATCATAATAAGAACCCATATTCAAAGGACGGGGGACATTTTGCGTTGTTATCGGCCCCCATAGAAAACATCATCCGTTTTTCATGAAACTTTCAGCATCTGTAGGGCTCATAGTCTGTAGTCACTCCTATAAATTTCAGCTTGATCGGTCAAGCTTTTACCTTACTTTAGTGGTCCGCCACATAAGCCCCTAAGTGACCTATATTAGTGACCTTGTGTACCTTCGTTCTCAACTGTATGATTCAGAACCGGAGCCATTTTTTCAGCATGAATAGCAATTATTAAGAGCTTCAAAAGTGCCCGAACAAGTGCCTTCAACAAACCTGCCTTCAATTTTTTATGAAGCACATAGTACCCCCAGTATAGGGTAAAATACAATGTAGTGAACCATGTGTACCGTCGATCTTCATTATATGATTCAGAATCGGAGCCATTTTTTCAGCATCAATAGTAATTATTAAGAGCTTCAAAAGTGCCCGAATAAGTGTCTGCAACAAACCTGTCTTCGATGTTTTATGAAGCATATACTACCTCCAATATAGTCTAAAGTTCGATATAGTGAACCATGTGTACCTTCGATCTTCACTATATGATTCAGAACCGGAGCCATTTTTTCGGCATCAATAGTAATCATGAAGAGCTAGAAAAATGCAGCTATATGTGACTACAGAGGGTGTGGGTGTGTGGATGTGACTGCCGATGAGTATACGGCAATCACCCACACCCACACCCTGATTTCAATAAAATTGGTCCGCGTTAAATTATCCAAATATCTTTCTCTTCCAGTGATATATTGGCATGGTTTGACAAATTCCGAAATCATTTTAACTCAATTCGATATTTTTATTTTGATTCTCCTTTTGCAATGTCAGAATTTGATTTTTACAATCTTACTGGAATCACAAAATTAAACTTTCAGCTCCTAATCAAGCTTCTGGTCGATTCCAACATTAAACAATCATCTAATCGTTCACTTCGGAATGCAGTAGAACTTTTCTTTAGAAAACTTAGATTAGGAATTAGCAACAAATTTCTTACTACCATTTTCCAATTTTCAAATCCTAAAGCTGTTTCTCGAACCCTTACTGCTGTTCGTGAAGCTATGCTAACGCATTTCGTGCCTTACTACCTTGGTTTTAATCATATTTCTCGTCAAGAAGTCATTAGCAAGCATTCTTCTCGACTTGCTACTCAATTATTAACTGACAAACCAAATATAGTTGTAATCGTAATCGACGGTACATATTTGTATATACAGGTACGTAATGTATTAACTATTTTAAGGCATACATCTAAGCAGTTCAGTGTGAGAAATCGGATTCGTCGTTATCATTATGCATTTGTTCGTGCTATAGCCAAAGATCAAAAGATAATCCTAGAACAACGCAAACTAATATGATAGGATCGAACTCATTTCGAGGAAACTTGTAAATATGTATTATATATATTGTAGTGGGTCCCTACTATAAATGCGATGTTCTGATATCCTGATTTTTTCCCCTTTATTGTAGACAAAGGCTACGATTCTTGACTTTAAAAAAAACTAAATAAAATGAAAAAAGCTTAAAAAGTAAAAATTTTTCTAAAAAAAGTGTCACCTTGTTCTCGATAGCTCATTTTTTCAATGTTCGATCAGAGTGAAATATCGATTTTTGTAGTTGGTGATAAATATTTTTGTTGCATTCTTAGAAGAGTGGGAACAATGAATTACAACGACGAACATACAATATTAACAAGCACCGATCTCTTGTTAAACCACTGTTGATTACTACTACCACAGGTTATATTATAGCAGCTTATGGACCTTATTTATCAGACAGTTCAAATTATGACGCAGCTATACAAAAAGATATTCTTATTAAAAACAAGGATGGCATTTTAAATTGGATTGCTGAACATGATCTAGCTGTCGTTGATCGTGGTTTTCGAGATAGCACTGGAATGATGCGAGCACTAGGTCTTGATGTATGTATGCCGGATTTTTTAAATGGTCGGCGTCGATTCGATGCACTTGAAGCAAATCGAGCACGCTTTATTAGTAAGATCCGTTGTGTTGTTGAATCGGCGAATGGTCGTGTGAAGCACTTCAAATGGCTAAATGAGACCATTCAAAATACAACAATCCCACAAATACGTGATTATTTACAAATTGCCTGTGCTCTAATTAATGCCTATCGTGCTCCTGCTATTTCTTCATTTTCTAATCGGGATCAAATTACTGCTACAATGTTGGCGCATCTTCATGAACCAAACTTACTTCGTGCCCGTCTTAACAATGAAGTTCTCCATTGATCGAATAATGACGCTTCAAATATTGTTGGTTTTCCTATTCTTACAATTGATCAAATTCGATTAATCACTGTTGGTATGTAGTGGCAATATATTTGCTCTAGATATCACTTAACTGTTTTACTTCTACTAGTAATCTCAAAACGAAAAAAATCTCTCTTCAAAAATATTATAATCTTTGTCTTAACCCATTCAACCCGATTCAGTTTTCTTAGAATATTGTTTCGAGATGTTCAGTTTCATGGACAGTTAACTTTTAATAAATACGCTTAATGACCTTTTTGTTATCTTCTACCGGTTATTTATCGTTCTCTTCTTTATCTCACTACATAATGAGTCATTTTTTTCTGCCGAACTGAATAATTGCTCGGATTACTTTTTCGTTCTTTTCCATATTATACAAAGTATGCACGAGAAAAAGAAGGAAGTTTCCAGCTTTTTCTCCCTTATTCTTTGCTCTCTATCGTTTTGTATATAAATACGACC